TGTCAACTCCCCAGAGAGATTCCCACATCTGCCGGGCCGGGGGGGAGGGGAGGGGAAGCTAGAATCCGAGGCTTCAAAGTTCTTTGCACTTTCCAAAAGGGGATGTTGGTGCAGCCACTTATTTTAGCAATTAAAAAGCCCGTTTCCCTCTTCTTAGCCAAGGCCGGTTTCCTTCGGCATTTCATTTATCTAGTGAATTTGCCACCCACCCCAGTTGGAGGTGACTCTGAGCCAGAGAAAACACTTGCAAATCTTTCACAACTCTAAATGCAAAACGGACTTGAATTGCAAAAACTAAAACGAAGCAAACACACAAAGCTTGCAGGGGAGAGGGGTGTGTGTGTGTGTGTGGGGGGGTCATCACTGTCAGGGCCCCAACATCCTCCAGCCAAGAGCTGCTCCCTTCCTGGCCCCTTTCGGGAGGGCTGTGCTTGCGACAACTTGCTTTCCTGGCAACTACACAACTGAGACCACAATCCTGGAAGCCCTTGAATACATGTGCAAGTTTCAAAGTAAGACACCAACCCAGAAGCAACGCAATCCACAAATCTCGCCCCTTGTGGACGGTTCTCTGGAGTCAATGATTCCCACGGTCCAAATCTCACATCTAATCCACTAATCCTTTGCTTGGCCGCTCGGCTCCTCTATCCAGGACCTGTGTTGTGTTTGTGTGCCCCACAAAAGGACTCCTCCCACCTTGATAAATGCTGTTGGCTTTGCCTGAATGACTTGGGGGGGGGGATTGTATTGGGGGGGGGGCAAAGGAGCCCCTCTTCCCAGGACAAAGTCTCTCTCTCAAATCCAGGGATGGATTAAGGAGAATCTTCATAGCTCAGGTGGGACCTGAGGGCTCCTTGGTGGTCCCAGAGCTTGGCTGTTTCCTTGCAAAAGTTTCACAACCCAAATAGCAGAGGTGAAATCCAGCAGGTTCTGGAGAACCGGTAGCGGAAATTTTAAGTGGTTCAGAGAACCGGTAGCGGAAATTTTGTGTGGATTGGAGAACTGGTAGCAGAAATTTGGTTTGGAGAATTGGCAAATGCTACCTCTGGCTGACCCCAGGAGTGGGGAGGGAATGAAGATTTTGCAGCATCCTTCCCCTGCCACGCCCACCAAGCCAGTAGTAAAAAAAAAATTGAATTTCACCACTGCCAAGTAGGTACCATCCTTAGTGCTAGAAGGCAGTGGTGGGTTTCCTTTTACTTGAGCACAAACTGAGAGCAACCCCTCCCCCTACTAACCACCACAATGGGGCCTAGTTTGTCCCAAGCAACCTCTGCAGGAAAACCATCAAACTCAAGGGACCCACCCAAGGACCCCCTCCCCAGATTCTTTTTTTAAATACTATTTTTCAATTGCAAAGATAAACATTCCATCTTTCCTTATTCCGTCTGTCTTCTGGGTGCAAACATCTTTGTGCCTCATTTGCCACCTGTCAAGGCGGCCTCCCTCAGTAACCAAGAAAGAAACCACTCAACTCCATTTTGCAGAATTAAGAGTACTTTTACTGGTCATGAGTAGATAGCAGCTAAGCAAAGCAGGACCTGAGGCAAAAACACGCGTAATCATAGATATAAATATGTGACCCAACCCCCTCCCCTTGGTAACCCCATCCCATAGTCCAATCCGCACATCCCTCAGGTGTCATGTGGGAGACATCT